AGAAAGATGAAGCTCTCTGCTGCCATAAAGACTGGCGGCCTTGGAAAGCCTATATATATCAGGTTGCTATGAGTCAGAATTGACTCATTGACTGTAAGTTGGTTGGTTGTTAGACTCCTTCTCTCCCTTGGACTAGTTGGGAATTGGAAGCCCCAAACTTAGCTTCTTTTTCAGTGTTTACACGCAGTGCTCCCAAGGAAAGACTGACTCTTTTTTTCTCTGTGTCTAATGCTTGGTGGGAAAGGCTCTATGTAGTAGACTGTGTTTGAGGAAACTCTTGATAGGCTCTCTTCCTGTGGCTGCTTTTAGTGTAGAGGTCTAGCCTGCAGCATCCACACCTGGAGCTCCACAAGATCAATCGCAGCATCCCTTCACAGCTCTCAACAAGGTGTTTCATTCTTTTCATGACTTTTCAAAACGTAAGAGTTCTCCCTGGTATACATTCTCAAAAGGTTCCAATTGGAAGCCTGCTCATTTTACCCACATGGTACCTCCCCTCTCTAAATTTGCAAGAGTGTGTGGTTAAGAGCAGAAGCTTAGAGGTTGATCTTTGAACTTCCCCACTGATGTTAATCTCCCCTTTTTCCAAGGGCATGGCTGAGAAAAGCAAGCAAAATCCAGAATTCTAGGCCTATATTTAGTAGCGTGTAGAGTGTAGTTGATCCCAAATAGCATGCTATTGTTTGTTGTTGGTAAGTGCCGTTGAGTCAGGTCCCACTCATAGTGACCCCATTTAGGGTTTCTGATGAGCGGTTAGTGGGTTTGAACTGCTGACCTTGTGGTTAGCAGTCCAGTGTTTAACCTACAGCACCACACCAGGACTCCTATATAACCTGTAGCCGGCATAGTTTTAATGCCACTAGCTGGCATGTATGAATGTGCACTATTTGTCAGGCACTGAACTAGTCCTTTTATATTTTATGAGCCTCAAAGCCACTTTCAATTTAGCTCAAGTGTCACTGTTTATAAAAGCCCATCTGAGTCTCTGGGTGTGAGGTTTTTGAGAGCTACTCATGTAGATATATCATGCTACATGATGAGCCAGGGCAATTGTAACACAGGAACCCATCAATGAAACTAGGTGCACATCACCAGTCTTTATGTTTGTGCAAGGTAATAATGACAAGTTGACATGGCATGGTCCATTGGTCCAGGTATATACAAAATATAATCATTAACCGTTAGCATAAAGAACTTCCTGAAGGCCACATCCCCGGGTATTGGCAAAGGATCAATCACAGTTCAGGTTCCCTTGAAGACATGCAAGGACTGAGCAACCAGACCTGTTATGAGAACACTTTCCTCACACTTTACATATCTCATTTAATTTCCAATTCCCTATTATATGGAGGATTACATGAGTAAACTGAGGTTCAGAGACAGAGTAAGATAACATTTAGAAATTGATTGGACTGAATCTGATGGGCTTATGCTCAATCTCTCATTATTCTGTAATGTTTTCTCACTACTAGTTACTATTGCTGTTCAGTCAATTCCCACTCATAAAGACCCTGTATATAGTGTGTCCAAGGGTCAGCCAGATAATGAGCCCCTCAGATTGGAAGGCACTCAAAATGCAACTGAGAAAGAGAGGCCTCCTCAAAGTAGAGTTGACCATGAGGATGTGAATGGAGTTAAGCTCGGGGGAGAAAAGCCTACAGAACCTTTATTTGCTGATGGGGCACAACTCAAAATGAAGAGAAACCGCTGTAAACAGCCATTGAAAATGGGAACATGGAATGTACGAAGTATGAATCTGGGAAAATTGGAAGTTGTCAAAAATAAAATGGAATGCATAAACATCGATATCTTAGGCATTAGTGAGCTGAAATGGACTGGTATTGGCCATTTTGAATCTGACAACCACATGGTTTACTATGCTGGGAAGGAC